TGCCAGGCTGATATCTTCCAACCACCCCCACCCCCCCCGTAGCAGCAATTACTTGGCAAGAAGTCAGGAACAGACTTCTTCACCCTAATGAATTGAACTAATTGTCTCCTGCAAGCTCCCCTCCCCTTTCGCTCCTCCTTATTCCCTATGGGAGGGGCCATTCACCGTCCACCTGTGCCTTTAGTCCTGGGTCGGCCCTTGTTCCTTAGCTGTTCCCTTCTCCTGGAAGCTCTGCACATGCACACATCGGGAACAGGCTCCAGCTGTTCTTCTGCCCCACTGAAATCCAACTCCGAGGGCAGCTGATAACTGTCGGACGGCCCTGGCCCCATCTCTGCCTCTGATGCAGAGCCCTCATCAGAGCCTTTCCCAGACCCCAGGACTGGCCCATGTTCCTCTACAACCTCCTCACTGTCTGAGTCTGCCACCAGTTCTGCTGGCCGCTGGTGGACCACAATAACAGGTTACTTGAGGAATATAGGAGAATGCAAGCCCTCTGTGCCTATAGAAATGTTAAAAAACAAATAGCATGTTTGTGAAATTGTCATGGGCGAATAGGAGGGAATATAAATTTAATAATAAATAAATAAAATTAAATAGCATTAAAAGGATTACAAAGAGCTCTTTTTATGTAAGTCATTTGGCTCCCTTGTTGTGTATTAAAACCTCCTTCTCCTCTTCCAGCTGCATATTGTTATCAGCAAAACCACCGCTAAAGTAGTGATTGATTGCAAGGAAGTGGGTGAGAAGATTATCAACGCAGCAGGAAATATCACTTCTAACGGGATTGAAGTACTGGGAAGAATGGTTCGATCAAGAGGACCAAGAGACAGTTCTGCACCAGTAAGTAAAGGAGTTGAGATAAAAGTGGATGATTATTCAGCAAGGCCCATTTATTAATTAAATTGACACACTGGCCCTTCTTGTTGTGCAAAATGACTTTGGGAGGCTTACAATTATAGTGAAAATAGAGATATAAACCAGTGGTTGGATTCAAATTTTTTTTACTACCGATTCTGTGACCGTGGCTTGGTGGGTGTGGCAGGGGAAGGATACTGTAAAATCTCCATTCCCACCCCACTCCAGGGGGAGGTTACTGCAAAATTCCCATTTCCTCCTGATCATTTAGGATTCGGGAGGCAAAGAATAGATGGGGGCGGGGCCAGTCAGAGGCGATATTTACTGGTTCTCCGAACTACTCAAAATTTCCGCGACCGGTTCCCCAGAACTGGTCAGAACCTGCTGAATACCACCTCTGATACAAACACAATTCTAAATATAAAAAGTGATTAAATTGCAAAAAATTAACTACAGACTAAAAACCACAGACTTCAGGTGGTGAAGAGGTGGTGCCTTCTCTGTCATCGTACCAACCATCTACAGCCAGATTTTCAGACCCTTCCTGCAGGCCAGATGGCTGGGGATGGATTCACTTCCTGTAGCATTATGTTACAAAGGGTAGTAGCCATGGCAGAAAAGGGTCTTCTCCTAATCGGTGCCAGCTCAAATTCCTTGGCTGATGGGGTTTGCAGTAGGCCTCTTCTGCCAGGACGAGTGGGGCAGGCCAGTCCTATTGGAGCAAGATGGCTCCTCAGTTTATTTATTTAGGGATTGATGTAACCCCTTCTGTAACTAGACTGTAAAACATTAATTCAGTTATGCCACCATCCACTTCATTCATTTTACATATAATGTACAGTATGTTCCTCCACTTTGTCAAAGCATCTTTGTCTTGTGGTCAAATTCTAGTGGGAAAAGTCATTTGGGTCACTCTCTGGGAAGTATTTGACCATACTGAACTCTTGAGACTTGGCCTGTACTTTTATCTGCTTTTCAAGATGACAGTTCCCATCAAGTGAAGAGAAGCTCTTCCAGAGCATTGTTACGATTATTAATTAATTAAGCAAGAGGATAATTTAATACGAGAGAAGAGGTGGATTTAATTTTCAAAGCTGGACAATCCAGTCATGTCCTTTGAACTCTGTTGACCAAATGGGGTTCTTAAACCTAATGAACTTCAGCCTATTTACCCTGTGAATTACATAGTTGCCCTCCCTCCTCATAAAAGTATGTGCTTTGTACAAAGAAGTGTTTTCAGACTCCTGACTTCAGCCAGGCAATTAATGTATCAACTTCCCTAAGACAATTGAACCAAGCAATCTCTGTGGCCATTTTCCAGCAGGGAATGACAAAGGCCATCTTGTAAAAAAAATTGCAATTGAAGGGTGCTTTGTAAGAAAATGAAAGGAAAGAAATGATGGCTTTTGTTTGGAGAATCATGGCTGTATGCGTGATAAGTGGTCAAGTGAACTATACACCCACAGAAAGCAAAACAAAAAACAAAAAACAAAAAAACAGTTGCCTGCAACTGAACTGGTTGATGGTTATGTAAGTCCACAAACATGCATTTTAAAACAAATAGAAGCATTCTTTGCACAAATTCAACTTTAACAAAGTCTGTGCTTTTGATTAGGTACAGTGTATTTTTTCAGGAAATTATGTCTTGATGCTATCTTGTGGTCCACGAGGCTAAAACATTAAGAATGCTTCTGTTTCTTCTGAAAAATGTTTTTTTTTTAAATTTGAGCATATATGCAAATTAAAAAAACATTTTGTACATACATACATACATACATACATACATACATACATACATACATACATACATACATACATAATACATACATAATATATTTTGTCCTAAACCATATCTGGCACCTTGATAGTGAATTTGGAAGTTCCTTTTAGGTGACAAAAAAACAACAGAAGTGATTGCAAGCATGCAAAACTTGAACCTTGATGTACTCCATATAATGCAGTGTTTTTGAGACTTGGCAACTTTAAAATAAGGGACGCAGTGACTCAGTGTCTAAGATGCTGAGCTTGTTGATCAGGAAGGTTGGCAGTTCAGCGGTTCAAATCCCTAGTACCGCGTAATGGAATCAGCTCCCGTTACTTGTCCTAGCTTCTGCCAACCTAGCAGTTCAAAGGCATGTAAAAATGCAAATAGAAAAATAGGAACCACCTTTGGTGGGAAGGTAACAGTGTTCCGTGCGCCTTTGGCTTAAGTTTAATCATGCTGGTCACATGACCATGGAGACGTCTTCGGACAGTGCTGGCTCTTCGGCTTTGAAACGGATATGAGCACCGCCCCCTAGAGATGGGACTACTAGCACATATGTGCGAGGGAAACTTTACCTTTACCTAAATGTGTGGCTTTCAAATCCCAGCATTCCCCAGCTAGGGTGATAAAATGCAATATAATAAAATTGTTAATAATTCTGGTGCGGTGGTTAAGCCATTGTGTCTTAGCACAGTGATTATCAACGTGATCTAGGGACCACTGGGCCTGCGATGTCATCACAGGAAGTCCGTTAAGGCTTGGAAAAAATGTTATGATTTAAATCTTGAGTTAAGTCTTGGTGGCCCATGGCCACAAAAGTTATTTTGGGCCCGTGGTGAAGAAACGGTTGAGAACCACTGCCTTAGCACAAAGCCCCCTGGGTAATCTTGGGTCACTCATTCTCACTCAGCCCTAGGAAGGAGGCAATGATGAACCAATTCTGAAATCTGGCCAAGAACACTGCAGAGACTTCTCCAAGCAGTCTTTAAGACTTGGACACCATTGGATACAAGCAAAACCATTGGACGTATTTGGTTCATTTTGAATGGGCCAATATTTCAAAAGAATACGTTCTCTGTGGTATCCAGCGTTCCCTGACCATCTCCTCTCTTGAATTTAACTGAACCTTGTAGAAGAGCCATGTCTGGGGATGTCTGCAGATATGGCAAAATAAATTATGCTAGTACTGTATATATTCTTCAGTTAAATTTTGTTCCTTGAGGCATCTTTAAAAAAACTCTGTACCGGTATTTGTTCTGTTGGAAATGTTGCATGGCAGGTGAATTGGCATTTGGAGATTTATGGGGAATTGTTTATTTCAGAATGAAGGCTTCAGGAAACTAAATTCAAACTCTGTGGGCTGAGCTATGGATTCTCAACAAATATTTACATCTTTATTACCTTTTAACTCTGTTTATGGACTTGATTTAAGCAATATGGGTATGCATTGTTCTCAAGATAACAATATGAGAATAGGCATTGTTCTCAATACAACAGAATTATGACATTTGTAGGATTAGGTACTGGAGGTAAAAGAGGAATAATTTTGGAAAACAAAGATGAGTTTGTTTTCATCAGCACGATTCTACAAGTATTCCTCAATTTACAAGTTTGTTTAGTGACCATTTGAATTTACAACGGCACTGAAAAAAGATGACTGAGGACTGTTTTTCTCTCTTATAACCTTTGCAGCATCCCCAATGTCATGTGATCAAAATTTGGATGCTTGGCAACTGATTCATACTTATGACAGTTGCAGTGTCCTGCGGCCACATGATCACTTTTTACAGTCCTCTGATGAGCAAAATCAATGGGGAAACTGGATTCACTTAACAACTGTGTTACTAATTTAACAGCTGTAGCGATTCACTTAACAATTGTGGCAAGAAAGGTCATAAAATGGGGCAAAATTCATTTAACAACTGTCTCACTTAGCCACAAAAATGTTGGGCTCAATTGTGGTTGTAAGCTGAGGATTGTTTGGATCCACTAGAAATATTTTTCCTGGAAATAATTTACTTTTGAAAGTAAAAGATGGGTTGCTATAAGCAGGATTCTAGGGCAGTGTTTCTCAATGCTGGCTGGGGAATTCTGGGAGTTGAAGTCCGGACATCTTCAAGTTGCCAAGGTTGAGAAACACTGTTCTAGGGTCAGAGGAGTTTCTTTAAGTTTCCATTTGTAGGTCATCTTCAATTGAAATTTTGGATAAATGTGGGCAGATTTTAAAATCTTTTTATACAATCGTATCTCATAGACAAGCATTCAGTTCGTGGTTTGGTAAGTAAAAAAAAAAAAGAACTCACGTGTGATTATTGTCTTCAGTTTTTGTTATGTTTTTATTAGATGGCGTCTAATCAATTTGGAATTATTATTTTTTCTTTCTTAATCAGTTCCAGCTGCAGATGTTTGATATCGTTTGTTCCACTTCGTGGGCCAATAGAGATAAGTGCTGTGAACTTCCAGCTTTGGTAAGATGTTACCCATTGTTGTTGTTGTTGTTGTTGTTAGTTGTGAAGTCATGTCTGACCCATTGCAACCCCATGGATAACATTCCTCCAGGCCTTCTTGTCCTCTACCATCCTCTGGAGTCCATTTAAGCTCACACATACTGGTTTGTGACTCCATCCAGCCACCTCATTCTCTGTCGTCCCCTTCTTCTTTTGCCCTCCATCTTTCCCAGCATTAGGCTATTCTCCAATTGAGTCCTAAGAATACTTATTTAGTGATTTGCAATTCAATTATAACTATGTCTGGAAAGGTCTGTAAAAGAGGATCACATTACCAGCATCCAGAGTATCCTAACTTGGAATATACTGAAGATAACACAATCTTTGTTGTTGTTGTTGTTAGAGAGATGAAGAAGGCTGCCCCGCCCTTCCACATTCTTGCTCCTGCTCTGAAGTCAACAAAGGATCTCCTGGGCCCTCAGGACCACCTGTAAGATTTTACTTTATTGATCTTTTACTAATGTCCCCCATTCAAGTACTCCCAGGTGGCCAAGTATCAAATTTTATTGGATAGGTTTGAGATCGTAGCTGGGTGATGCAACCTGCTAAAATCTTCTTTGTGGGCTGAGAATTTAACACATTGAATTGAAATAAGCACTACCAGTGCTCTGAAGTAGATTTTTTGTATTGAAGAGCAGCTGTCATTCCCCACTAACTTGGGTGGTAGCCTTTGTACATATGAAAGGCACTGAGATACAAAGGATGTGACATCTGTGTGTCTCACATATAAGGTTTCCTGTTTCTGGATGTTGCTTTGAATTAACAGTAAATATACAGTAAGGCTTCTTTGCTCTTGTTCCTTTACTTAGAAGGAAACTTTCCAGATGTTTGTTTACTACTTACGATAATCAAAGCTTCAAGCTATTCCATCGTTTTCTCCTCATTTGATATTTGTTGAAAGAAGTGATAGAATAAATGTGGTACATTATTGGCATTTTTCTCTTCCCTAATATAATACCTTCAAAATATGTTGCATTTGTATTTCATCTACAATTTTTTAAAAGCAGGGATGTCAAACTGGTGGACACGTGCAGGCCATGCCCACTCCAGCTCCTCGAAGGGGAAAAACGTTGCAATACGTCACGTGATGGCAATGTGACACAGCGAGTTTGACACCTATGTTTTAAAGGAAGCATAGCCTTACTAAGTGTCACAGGGGTAAAGACAGAAATCTTAAGCACTTACTCAAGTGTCACTCATCTGCACCGTTGACTGGTTTCCAAAATGAACAAAAATGCAAAAATGAATCAGAAATGACATTTTTTATAGGAAATTCCCAATTGGCTTTGTGGAGGCCAAATTCCAGTTGTGTTTTTCTTAAGAAAAATAGGAATATTTGAGGGTGAGGAAGAGTTATGAGTCGAATAGTGAAATATGAATTGCGATATTTATTGGGAGGAGGAGGGGGGAGAGATAATGGTTGATGAATGACAATAATGCCCTTGTTCTGACCTACGCTTCCCTAGCAGCACGAAGCTGAGTCCCGATAAACCCCTTTTATTTAATTTATAGTGAATTCCTCTCCAGCAAAGTCTTTCCTCTCCCACAGTCTTTCAAGATATTTCACAATTACCGACCTTTATCTAGCTTAGAGAGTGGCCAGACCAATATCTTTCAGATGCCGCAATGCTTGGCAAGAATGCAGGAATGAACTAATTGTCTCCTGCAAACTCCATTCCCCTTTTGCTCCTATTTTATTTCCTATGGGAGGGGCCATTCACCGTTCATCTGTGGCCTTACTCCCAAGTCTTCCCTTCACTGTTCCCTTCATCTGGCTACTCTGTGCATGCGCACACTGGGAACAGGCTTCAGATGTTCGGTGGGCCACAACAGCCCTCAGTATTGGTGAATTCTCCAACCAGGCTTAGAACCAAACAGAACTACTATGAAACAACAGCAGCCTTGAGAGAAAAAGTTATTTTCAGTACTACTGAATTGTGCCTGTTGGAAAAGAAACTGAGACAAGTTAAAAGATGGCTGTTTGGTTAAAACTCTGGATAGGGAGTTTCTTCCTTGAGAAAATTTTTATTTTTTATTCTCTTACATAGCATTTTAAGTATACATTCACATAGGTGTTATTTTTTTATACATTTATCATTCTTATACATTTATTATTTTATTTAATAAATTATAATATACAATTTGGGTTGCTTTATTTACCATCCCTTCTTCCTGTTGTAACACCACTTCAATTTCCCTTTCTTTTCTCCCTCCCTCCCTTTTCTACTTCCTCTCCTTCCCCTTCCTTTTTTTCCATGCCTTTCTCCCACTCCTTCCCTTCTCCTTCCCCTTCCTATCCTCTCTCCTTCTCTTCCTCTCCCTTCCATCCTCCTCTCCTTGCCTCTTTCTTCTTTCCCCCATCTTCCTTTCATGTTCTCCTCCTTTCCCTCTTTCTTTTCTATTATTGTAGGTGTCTCTTTCCAGCCTCAATTTATATTTCCTTGGAATGGTATTTCTGCAGACCCAAATATAATTTGATATCATTTCTTATTCCCTTACCTTTACTAATCTATCCTAGCTGTATTTTCCTCTCCTTTGTATCTCGCTTTTGGCTGTATACTTATACATTTAATATTTTCTTTTCTGTTTTCCCCTTCTTCCCACTCCCCTTTTCCATTTAACAGTACCTCGTCCGGGTTCTATATCTTCTCCCTTAAATAGGGAGTTTCTTGTGTAGGAGATATAAGTACATTGCAACATTGAACAACAGGGCTTACTTAATTTTCTTTTAATCTTAAATGTGTTTGATAGGGAGGTCCAGGGCTCCGAGGTCCGAAAGGAAGCCGTGGTGACGATGGGCCAAAGGTAAAAAGATTTCATTGTCTATGTAAAACGTGACCTATGTTTTGCCTTGTTATCTCTTTTTAAAAATAAATATTATTGGGAGAAAAAAAATGGGGAGGGGAGGAGACCAGGAAAATTGCTAAAAAGAGCAAGGAATTCTATAGAAGGGGTAGAAATCATGGCGTCTTTGGTACGCATAATTCAACCCTATTAATTTCTACATCCAATTTTAGAGTTTTACAAAGTGGTTTCTTTCTTAAACTTTCTCCATCACGTTAAGTCACACCGTTATATATCTGTACTTGTCACCAAAGTGGTGTGAAAGGTTTCAGGTATTCCAACTTCTTTCTTAAGTGTAGTTCTATCCAACTCCTACAACCTATATACCCATCCAGAAAATACCCTTGTATAAGACTTGGAGCGTCCAGTTGATTGCACCACCAAAAATATCTGAGAATGAACAATGTCATTTTGGCAAATGGTCTTCATCCTACACACACACAAACACACACACACACACACCAGGGGTGGGTTCCGGCACACACTACTGCTGGGTTGCTCGTGGGCATGCGTGTTTGATGCGCGCTGTGCATTAAAATTGTTCTGCGCATGCACAAAAGTGAAAAACAAGATGGCGGTGCCTATGGCGCCCCCTGGAGAACCAGTTCAGCGGCGTGGCAGGCCTGAGCCGCTGCCAGTTCCACCAACCCAGGCCAACAAACCACTACTGGTTCGGATGAACCGGTCTGAACCGGTAGGAACCCACCACTGCCCCCCCCACACACATGTAGGACAATAAGGCTTCTACCACCATCACATCTTACAACCATAGTCTCCGTTACAGTTGTAAGTTGAGGACTACCTGTATAGGTTTTTTCCCCCCATTATTTTTATATTGTGTTTTGTAAACATTTTTTGAGTTTGAAGTTTTATTTTATTTATATGCCACCCTATTCCCTAAAAGGGACTCAGGGCGGCGAACAACTCCAACGGGAAAGGGAAACATGCAATACAAAATAGACATTTAAAATAACCAACAACCACACCTGTCGAGAGGGGAAGGAAGCTCATCAACCCCAGGCCTGCCTTTCAGAAAGCCAGGAGAGAGGTGAGGGTCCGAATCTCCGCATTACCATAAAAAGCTGGAGAAAATATGTTAAGTAATTAATAAAGTGTATACTGCTACATTTTGAGCATGGATTTTGTGATGCTCTTCTAGGGACCTGATGGACCTCGGGGTGAAATGGGTTCTCCAGGCCCTCAAGGGCCTCCTGGACCACAGGGGCCAAGTGGACTTTCAATCGAAGGACCTCCGGTAGGTTTATTTTTATGCTTGGGCAGGGGGTTGGACTAGATGACCTCCAAGGTCTGTTCCAACTCTGTTATTCTATAATACAATACAATAGTAGAGTTGGAAGGGACCTTGGAGGTCTTCCAGTCCACCCCCCTGCCC